AAGAGTTTAGCTACTAGAGAGTGCCTGAGACTCCTGAGTAGGTCTATCCTTAGAAGCAGATGCTTGCTGATATTTTGTGAGTGCTTGAATCTTCACTCTTGCCAAAATATTACAAGAACCAGGAACTTTTCTATTAGGTATGCTTACTGCTCTGAAAGCAAAGGTGTATTTTAGCAAACACCAACGAGCATCAGGATGCATCTACACTGCACCCTTAGCTTGAAATAACCTATGCAATTAAATGTTAAAATGTTATGTCAAAATAACTGCTTGTAGTGTAGATGTGAACTATGTTATTTCAGAATACCTGGCGTTATTCTGAAATAACATTGCTGTGTAGACATACCCTAAGAGAGCATATGCCATTGCTCTGCACAACAGTATGTGTTACTGTGTAGCATAATGGTGTCTGGCATTATAAGAGGGAAATGAGAAAGTGCATGACTGGCTGTTGTAAATTATGTACTTGTGTGTGGTATTTTAACATGCCATAAAAATACTTGGGGTGGATTTTAAATTACTAACTTTTCCTCTGCAATTGCAGTTAACCAAAAATCTTCACTCTGTGTTGAGTTTTACTATTTGTGTGAAAAAACGAACCTGTAAAAGATCTTTCAGGGACTCTGGCAGTAATGATAGCTCTCACAGCTGTTGATAACATCTGAAAGAACTGTTTTTTTGCTCCCACAGGAGAGTAGTTATAGCAAGAGTATGTCCTGTTCACTTCTTTAAGGAACACATGAAGTAAAGCCTAATCTACACACAAAGCATGCCCCAGTTTAACTAAAATTGAGTTTAAAAAATGACCCTGTGGCAGCCTGATAGTCTCACTCTATACTCGACGGCAATAATATTTGTACAAAATATGCCTTGGGGTATTATTGTAAACTGCATGTGTTAACACTATATGTGAAGACGCTTTAGGGAGTAGCTGAGTTTACAGGGTAAATTTACAGGGTAAATTTTAAAAACAACAAATGGTCTGGTAGCACTTTATAGACTAATAAAACATGTAGATGATATCATGAGCTTTCGTGGTCACAGCCCACTTCTTCAGATGACCGGAGTTTTGAGTTTAGGATGTGCAGACCCAAAATAAATAGGGAAGAAGGGAAAGGGGGGAAGGAAAAAAAAGAAGGGGCCGGGAAACTAGGAGCAGAGGGTATGAAAATATCAAAGGGGAAAGCAAGTAAGCAGAGTTGGTAGTCTATAAGCACCTAAAGACTGGATAGTTAAAAGAAGCAGAAAAGGATCAAAGGATAGCAATTAGAAAGGAAGGGTACTAAAGCAAGAATCTACACAGACAAAGAGCTGTTGGCACCTTCATGGAATGTTAGGCTGATAATGTCCCAGCCATCCGTTATCTCGATTGAAGTCATCAGTGTGAAAACTGAATTTGTGGATGAATTGTAATTCCAATGCCTCTCTGTGTAATTGGATTGTAGAATTGGTTTGTGACAAGACTGTGGATGAAAGAAACCATCTTGGAAAAAAAAGACCGTATCTTACTAGATAACAGTTTTAAGATAAGAACATAAGAATGGCCATACTGGATCAGACCAAAGGTCCATCTAGCCCTGTATTCTGTGTTCCCAAAAGTAGTCAATATCAGATGGCCCAGAGGGAGGGAACAGAACAGGTAATCATCAAGTAATCCCTCTCCTGTCATCCATTCCCAGCCTCTGACAGAGGCTAGGGACACCATTCCTACCCATCCTGGCTAATAGCCATTGATGGACCTAATCTCCATGAATCTATCTAGTTCTTTCTTGAACCCAGTTAATGTCTTGGTCTTCACAACCTCGTCTAGCAAGGAGATCCACAGGCCAACCATGCACTGTGTAAAGAAAAACTTCCTTTTGTTTATTTTAAAATGGCTACCTATTCATTTCATTTGGTGACCCCTAGTTCTTCTGTTACGGGAACAAACAAATAATTTTTCCTTATTCACTTTTTCCATACCAGAAATGATTTTATAGACCTCTATCATATCCCCCATAGTCTCCTCTTTTCTTAGCTGAAAAGTCCCAGTCTTTTTAGGCTTTTAGGTGTGTGTTTTCACTTTTATATGTGTCTTTACCATCTTTACCTGTACCTCTTTTCTTTGGTATAATTTAACCCATTCCTTTTGTTAATAATCTTGTTTTGCTTTCATTATAAATCATCAGTGCAGTATATATTCAGTAAATTGTGTACTTCTACAAAGATAGCAGGTTGGACTGTTTTACTGTCTCCTTAAAGGCAGAAAACCACTTCCCAGCGAGTGGGACTAGACCCTGCCATAGGACAATTTTAGCAAGAATGTGGGGCCGGAAGGGTGCCATGGTCAGCCTAAAAGAAGCAACCAAGTTGGGCAAAGCCAAGGTAAGGTCAGTTGCAGGCTGCTGGCAGACTGCTTGGATCAGAGCCCTGAACCAATCCTGCACAGTCACAAGACAACCAGGGTTACGAGACATATGGTGACTGACCTCATTACTATGCTGGATGAACACCAGGAAATATCACAAAAATGAACTGGTGCAAAACGAAAAGTTTTCCGTTAAAAGCATTTTCGGAAAATCATGCCAGTGTAGACGTAGCCCTTGTGTGAACCCAGTGAACATCTTTACAATTGAGTTAGCTTGCTGGTTTGCTCCTTGATTTCTCCTATATTTTCATTCCGTCCTCCGCTTGCACTCCCCCTCATCATTTCACATCCATTATGGGTAATGCAGATTCAAAAACTAAGAGCAAGGCAGCAGGCTTCTGGGTTTTTCAAGGGTGACAACCACAAAGGAAAAAGAGGCAGCCTGCAGCATCACATTTAGTAGACTAACAAAAGTAACAGCTATAATATCCTTTTGATGTGTGTCCCCGCCCCCCGCATGCCACTTTCCTGCATTACGCTAGTCACATTCTGATAGGCCTGCCCCCACATTCACAGGGAGTACTTTTCTGAAGAGTACATTTTAAATGGTTAATTGCACAGTAAAAAAAATGGTTACTCTTTCTGCATGCATTAGTGCTACATACATTACATTGCCAAATTTGATGTCGGGTAACAAGCTTGCCCTGCCCCATAATTCAGCTTGGTTGGTATGTGCCCCTGGTTTTGAAACCTGATGAGAAATAGACCAGTTTTGTGATGCAAACCTATTCATGTTCATTTGATTATACAACAGCATAAGATTAAGTGTCTGTTAGTCTGCTCTCTCCCGCTCATTTCAATCAGTCATGTTTATTTCTTAATATGTAAATGAATAAATCAAGAGCCAGAGCCTCACAGTATTTTTGCTGATGTAACTCTATTGACATCAGTGGAGCTAGTCCCAACTCACATCAGTTTAACTGGAAGCAGAATCAGCTCTTTCATGCCTTTACAGATGCTCCCATTTGCTCAGTATGTCTGTTACTTTGATTTATGCTACTAATTCTGTCACTCAGTGGAGGACCAGCATTGCTTATGAAGTATTGAAGTTCTCAGGCATCTGATGAAAAACATACTGCATATTCATTTATCCCCAATGACTATTTAAAGTAAAAGATAAACAACTTGGAGATTAATGTATTCAGTTTAGCAAACCTGTATCTGGTTTACATCCCTCAGTCAGCACACTGACATTTTGTTAACTAATCCATTGAGCAACTGATTAGAAACAAAAATCATCACTTCACCATTTTCAGCAAAGTAGGAGCAAATTAAATTGCCCAGTCTAACCGGATCATGTAATATCCCCCTGATAAGTATAACACTCCAGTTCTAGCTGCCTCCAATTATTGTTTTCTGGTGACAGATAAGATGGCTCAAATACTGCTGCCATAATTCATCTTTCATAAGAAGAAAAGACAAGCTGAATGTAAACTTGTAAATCCTACACCACCACACCTTATTATAGTGTAATGTAATTGAATCCTCGTGGGCTTCAGTTTTCAGCTTTGAGAAGGTCAAATGGAACAAAACAAATGCAGCCCCATATAACAAGAAAGCCAAACTAATGTGCTTCTTAAATATTTGTGGATGCTAAGTAATGATCATTGATGGCAACATAGCATGTCTGGCATTACACTGCTTCTCTATACCATTGTCTGTTTGCCACAATAAGAATGGTGCGGAAATGTACCTACCTGCTGTATCCTTGTAATTGTCCAATTGTTTCACTTATGCCAAGTTACAAACATAATAGGTTTTTTTTTTTAATAAAATGGACTGATCACCCTCTCCCAAAGAAAATCCAGTGAGAAAGGGAACATTTACTTCCCGGCATCGGGCTGCTCCTGCCACCACTTGATTCTATCACAAACGGGAAAGAGAGCCTCTAATCAAAAAACAATGGGAAACCTTACCCCATGATGCCACACCAGTTGAAAAGAACAGTTGTACCCTGCAGGCACCACTTATCCCTTGGCAACATAGCTAACTCAGAGGTGCCCTATTATGGTTATACACTGCTGCCCCTTTGATGGATGGTGAGGGTCACAGTTGGAAAGTAAATGCTGGTCCAATCAGCATTAAAATCCACTGTAATGCATTAGAATTTTGACAGAGGAACACGAGACACAGAGCAAGATTTCCTTGATTCTCTTTCAGCCAGCCCTGATATCCTCCATTACACAATATTCAGGTAGCAGAACTACTGCAGACTCCACAGGAGGGGTGGCACATTGCATAGGACATTTGATGAATCCTTCAACGCAGAGCCAGCCAGCCCATTGGTGTAACAGCATCACTTCCTAGCCCATTAGTGATGTTGGTATCAGAGTTGGAGAGCATGAGGACAACATGACCATTTATTTTTTAAATGATAATTGAGTTAAACACTGATGTGTATGAATCCTATAAAAATCACATTCCTGAAAAGGACATTGGAAAGGAGCCAAAAAAATCTGTTAAATTGTTTTTGATGGAAAATGGGGGTTTTGAGAAAAGAAAATTTTTGCAAAAAGCATCTTCTGTGGAAAATATTGATTTCTCATAGAAAAAGCAAAACCTAAAAACATTTTTTTTTATTCAGAAATGGTACCTCATGCCTGAATTCTCATGTGTGAGCTGGGCTCCCTTGCCAGACGGTATTTCCCATAATTCATGGCAACCATGGACTCGCTCTCTCCCTCCCCATGCTGCACCTGGAAGGATCAGTAATAGCAGATTCTGTAGTGTATCTGGGACATGAGATCTGGCCTGAATATCATAAAGAAGTATTGGCACATGGTCATTCAATGTGTCAGTACTTCTGAATAGAAATTTTCAGTACTCAGCCACAAATGTTCAAAATCAAAATATCAGGGGAGTGGGAGGATACGATCAGAAATATTTTCTGACCACCTCTGCACTGCAATTGTATCTCTGCTTATTCACACCTTGCAACTATCATGCAACAAGCAGTACTCCTGGTTATTTTAGGCTTTATTACTAAGTCAGACCATTACCAATAGTAGTAGAATGATATACTAACCAGGTGCATATATAGCGTGTGTATAATATATAATTAATATCTTACATGGATTTAAGACCCATTACCCTCCCCCGCCCCCCCAAAAAAGAACACCTGACATATGGAACCTTCTGAAACATTCCCCAGCAAACTTAAATTTTATCTCTGAGCTCCAGTTGGCTCAGATTCAGAGTCTTCTAGCTGGATAGGGGGAGGGGCAGACATGTGAAGTAGCTAGCTAACAGTTCACTAACAAACTTAATTGAAATTGTTAAATTCAAAGCATAAACCCATTTTCTTCAAGGAAAATATCTTGATTTCAAAAATAAACAATCATTTTGCAATTAGTAAAATTCCTCACTTTCCTGTCTTCACTATATGGCTACCCATTTTCATTAACCCCCAAACGTGCCCATCAGATAACATTTTCTACTTGAACAGGGCCTCTTGTCTTTCTAAAATTGTTCTCAATGGAGCATAAGCTTAAAAATGCTCAGTTACTAAGGTATCTGTTTATCTGAGTGAATTCTTCTTTAGTTAAAGCTGCAATAACCTCCAACTCATAGACCGCTTCAGTTCTGATAAGAATTCAAATAAAATATGTTATATAAGACTAGTGTAACATAGCCATGAACTAGAGTGAGTCCACTGTAACAAAAATATTATGCAATTAGATGTGCTTCAATTTTATTTGATAAAACAAAACCTTTACTATATTTGACCTCAGACTGCCTGAATCACTCTTGTATTTATACCAATTTTATAATTGTGAGATTTCATTGATGTCAATAGGATCGCACCAACCCAAAACATAATAGAGATGCTGAACTCCAGCATTGGCACTTACGGCCATTGCTAACTAAGACACAAGCTAGGGCAGACCCACTTCCTCAGATCAAATAGTGGAGAAAATTGTCACAACCATTTATACCAAAGGATACAATTTAAAAAAATGAACACATATGAAAAGGACAAACCAAATTTCAGAACAGAAGGGGAATGGGGGGGGAGGTAAATGTCTGTGAGCTAATGATATTAGAGGTGATAATTGGGGAAGCTATCTTTGTAATGGCTTTAAAGACTCTAATTACCCATTACAAAGATAGCTTTCCCAATTATCACCTCTAATATCATTACCTCACAGACATTTACCTCCCCCCCCATTCCCCTTCTGTTCTGAAATTTGATTTGTCCTTTTCATATGTGTTCATTTTTTTAAATTGTATCCTTTGGTATATACGGTTGTGACAATTTTCTTCCACTACTTGATCTGAGGAAGTAGGTTTGGCCCACGAGAGCTCATCACCTAATAAACCATCTTGTTAGTCTTTAAAGTGCTACATAGTCCTGTTTTTTGTTTCAGCTACACCAGACTAAAATAGCTACATTTATATCACTATTTAACAATCAGGGTGACTTGATTACAGGGTTATAATGAAACCTTGGCTTGAACATCGATAGGATTTCTTCTACCCTATTTTTAAGTGCCTCTCATTTGGAACGTACTTTCCACAGGATTCTTAGGTGACCAAAGCCATCCATGCATGCTTTATGGGAATGGACAAACAGAAAGGTAACAAGGTATGCTTATTATATCACTATGTGCTCTTGATTGCTCATATGTTCAAAATTCAGTTACTGCCAGGAAAATCCATTTTTCATCTCAACACTGAACCATTTTTTATTGTGTAAGAATGAAAGATGATCTCTCTCACATGGTATAAACAGCTATTGAAGTGCAAACCATTCTAATCCCACCCTGGAATATTGTCTTGTATTAATGTCTAAATTCCAAAGAAATATGTCAAAGAAATTGTTTAATATTATCTCTAACTCTAATACACTTTCTCCTTAATGCTAAAACATTTTTTCTCACCACAGTGTTTAGTGAGTTCAGCATAAAATGTATTATATTCATATTGACTTTGTGTTCACAGTGAAATTGTTCAAACTTTGTTACTTGAAAACAATAAAACAACAACATGAAATGAAAGTTGAGAACTACTAAAGAGCTCTCTATCTTTTGAATGTTATTTCTTCTTCATTGTTAAAGGCAAATTATTAATACTTTTACTTAAAATATTTGATCTATTTTAAATATTTTGCATGCTTCACCTTTTTAAATGCACTTGCCCTTCACTACCAATACATAGTGAGAGAGATCTCAAAACACATTTATGCTCAGAAAAATGCTGGAGGCAATAAAAATGCTAGTAAATGTGCTTTTTGAAATACTGTATACATCGTACTAGCTATTTATTTAAGTTAGGGTATGTCTACACTACAGCACTATTTCGAATTAACTTAATTTGAAATAGTTAATTCGAATTAAGCTAATTTGAAATAATGCATCTATACACAAAAACTATTTCGAAATAGCATTTTGCTATTTCGAAATAGCACGTTCACACTGAGTGCACCCTGAACCGAAGTTAAGGCTGGCCAGAACCAGTGCTGGCAGGGCATCAGGTTAGGACTTAATGTGTGGGGCTGCTGCCTGAGGCTAACTGAGCTCCGTGCTTAAAGGGACAGACAGTTCTCAGGGTTCCCCGCTTGCTTGTCTACCTTGATGAGGGACAGCAAGCAGTCCTGTCTTGGAGTGCCCTGAGTGCCCAAACTCAGGACAACACAGCACTCGGTCACATGGAGCCAGAGATGCCCCTGGGCATGCCGGTGTATCTCGTGGAGTCATTGCCATCAGCCCAGTTGCAGGCTGCCATCTGGGGGGTCAATCGGGGGGCTGTCAAGATCCAGTAGGCCCTGAGGGAGAGCATGTACCCCAAGGAGCCCTCAGAGCCTCCCCGGTCCTCCCCACCGGGGGCTCGTGCCCCATTCCTCCCTCACGTCTTTCCACTTACCCCTCCCTATCCCCCCTTCCTGATATTAAATAAAAGACACCTATGTTCAAAAATAGAAACTGGGTTTATTGAACAAAACTGGGGGGAGGGGGAGGATGGACCTCTGGGGAGACTGGGAAAAGGAGGTGAGAGAGGGGAAAAGAGAGGGTGGGAGAAGGGTGGGAGGAAACCTGGGAGGAGGGAGCTGGAAAGGGAAAGCAAGGGGAAGAAGAGAGAGGGGAAGCTCAGGGCTCAGGGTCTCGCTGGACCAACCTGACTTTCATGAAAACCTGCTCCTAGGTTCGCATGTGGCCTTTGCTGGCCAGGCTGGCAGCTATTCTGCCATAGGCCTGAGATTATGGATGTTGGGGATATCCTCCCCAAACCTGAATAAGGTCCATGATCTCCACCCTGGACCAGGAAGGTGCCAGCCTTCTCCAGCCCCTGTTATTATTTTGAATTAACTTTGTAGTATAGACATACCCCTTTAAATTAACTCCAAGATTGTAGAATAGAAAATTAATAGCTATTTTCTGACAGGACACTTGCCATCATTATTATATGTTCTGGATAACACATCTAAGACATTGTTTCTTTTTGGGATCTCCCAATGAATTAGCAAGACATTTGGCTGTCATCCTCAGGATATTTGGAATATACAGAACCCTCCTTTTCAATAAATATTTATATTTGTTGTTTTATATAAAACCAGTGCCAAGCCCAAATGAGAAAAAGGATTCAGAGCTTCAGAAATATTAGAATAGCATTATATTATTTATCCCTTTGTTAAACATACATTTTCTTTTACCTGTATTTGTGTCTTCCTTGTAAATCTCAATTATCTTTGACTCTTAAAATAACACCTTCAGACATGTGCAAGCTATCTTGTGAATTCATTTTCTATCTTTAATATGTATTCAACTGCGGCTAAGATTTTAAGGCTATAACTGGGCCTTCTAATAATTTCAATGAAGTTCTGCATGGATGAAGGGATCCAGTTGCAGATTCTATTATTTAGGCTATGTCTACACTACAGAGGGGGTTTTTTTTTTCAGAAAAATGGCTGTTTTTCTTAAAAAAACTTCACTTATGCCCATACTGCATTCGCATTCTTTTGAAAAAAAATCGAAAGAACGGAAAGGCTTTTCTGACATTGGTAAACCTCTTTCTTCAAAGAAGAAGCTTTTTTCCGAAAGAACTCTTTTGGAAAAAGGTATGTGTGGACGGGGAAGAGGGTGTTCTTTCAAAAGAAGAGGAAAGAGGAAAAAGCACAGGTGCCTTGGTAGCCATTCCATCTATAGTAATCACAGCTTAAATGTGAGATAGTATCCATTCAGTATGGATGCTATCTTTCGAACAGCAGGTTGCTTTTTCAATGCACTTTGGCAGTGTGGACGTGCTCTTTTGGAAGAAGTTTTTTCAGAAGATCTCTTCTAGAAAAGCTTCTTCCAAAAGTAGCCTTAAACAGGGCCTGATCCAAAGCCTATTGAAATCACTGTCAGTCTTTCCTTGGACTTTAATAGACCTAGCCTTGGACTCATATTTCATAAGTTGCACCCATGCATAAATACGGTTGGGAGGTGGAGAGGATGGAGTTAAGAGCAGACAGAAAATCTCCTCCTTGGAAATGTTTTCAGCAGCATACAGTGCTACTAAAGTGACAGAGAGTAGCATGGGGATAGTGTTGAAAAATGGGGGTTCCAGTTCTGGGAGATGTAATGTAGAGTTTCTTTCCCAGACTTCAGAGCCCATCAATAGAAAGTTACATCTGGCCTAGAGTGAAATAAAGGCATGTTGTTCATGCAAACTATATGCACTCTTTGCTGCAATCTGCTACCTGTTTTCTCTGAAGGGG